AAATCGCTCTCGACGAAAGAATTTTGATTGAAAGCATAAAGTTGAAGAACTTCCTGAAACATTTCACAAAATATCGATACCTCGTCGAAATCCCCGAACTTGCGGGAAATTCTTGTAAGATACACCGGAGGAAAATTCGAAATAAAAATGTACATTGGTAGAAAAGTACCGCGAAGTGGATTAATTTTTAGCGTGAAATTCAAGTGCTGCTGGAGGGAGGGTACTTAAGCGACGACTTATCAATGGGGAAATAAACGAAGAATCGAGCTCTTTAACGGAGCAAATGAGAATTGCAACGAGAATAATGCCGAACGAAAATTGGAGATTCGTAATCACCGTCGATTATTTAACGTACAATGGTAGATCTACGAGAAAAGAAACAGGCACACAGGGTGTATTACACGGGGAACGTACAATTCTCTGCAGTTAACCGGAAATTAAACCGGCTATTAATGTTATAGCCTGTCCATCGACAATTCCATTGATGCCCTATAAAGTCTTTATTAGGGAAAACTGTCTCTCCATCCTCCACCTTTCTTCTCCCTCTTTCGCCGTGCCCGCTGGGAAATGACGCATTTATTGCGCACGAAGTGCAACGTTAAGTGGAAAAGATCAACCTTTGTACGTTCTACGTTGCGTTTACGAGCCACGACGGGACCAATAACAAATTTTACGAATTGCAAACTCGCCACTTCGACTGATACAACTGCGTTTAACTATCTCTCGCGTGCTCGTCCAGATGTGAGAAGTTTGAAAATGTTTCTTCGAGATTTTTCCATCGTTTCTACGTTATCCTCGTGAAATCGTGCTTGCCAGGAAAGGTGAAGTTATTTCAATTATTGGAATCGTTGCGCAAAAGCGAGAAATTCCGAGAGATCTACGACTAATTTTGCACGTTTCGCGATTCGAAACGTGCGAACACTGTGTTAGACGACGATGTTTATGGTATTTTACTCTGTCAGATAGATTTTCCAATTTTTCTTCTTCTTCTCGCGTTCTTTTCGAAGAGAAGAAAATGTGGATGCGTCTGGAAGGAACACCCCTCGCGATCTCTGAGAACGTATCACGCGTGAAACTCGCGTAACCCATTCGTCGATATATCAAATGTCTCGCAACCTTATTACACACCACGTTGACGCAAGAACGTGTGGAACAGGTGCATCGTTCAAACACCATTTTCTCTTTCCATGCAAATTATGATGACGCGAGTGGTGTATGACATGCTCGAGCCACTCTCGGCGTCGTAAAATTTTATGCCGGATGGGTAGACGAAACTTTAATATCTTAACAGCTGACTGAAATGTGCATAATCTCGGCGTTGTGGTCATTGTTGGAACATTACACTCTCGCTGTACTATATTCTACTATAAATAACTATTTTCTAAAATTTTCTACGGTAGATTGGAGAAAGTAGAATTATAGTTTGGTGTGGTCGATAAATCGTTGAAATTTGGATAAAATTTTAACGAAATTATCGTGTTTCTTACTATCTGAAATATTTTAGAAGAGCAACGTTTCAATCTTGCAGATAAATTTGATTTGCTTAATATGTTTTACTCCTTACAAAAATATTTCCTTTTGCTGTGATATTAATTACCTTGTGTGATCGATAAATCATTGAAATTTGACTGGAATTTTAAAGAGCAAATTTTGAATCTTGCAGAATCTTGCTTAATAATCCTTTAATGATATTAACTTGTGTGATCGATAAATCATTGAAATTTGAATAGAATTTTAACAAAATTATCGCGTTTCTTACTGTTTCAAATCCTTTAAAAGAACAACGTTTGAATCTTGCAAAGAAGTTTCATTTCCTCAATATCCATTATTTCTTACGAAAATATTTCCTTTTCCCCTGATATCAATATATCGTCCTAAGGATTAACATACACTAATAGCATTAGGAAACTCTTATCTCACGATCCTCCAGCAAAAGAATTTCTCTAAAACCCTATAATCCAATCCATCGAAACACCCAAGAACCAACAATTCTACAAAAAAAGAAGACAAAGAACACCCATGAAATATCTTCCCAGCATCACTTCGAAAAAAAAAAAAAAAATATTTCTCCCAGCAATTCCAATCGATCGAGATCCCGCGAACGCGAGCACGATCTCCTCAACGAGTCGAACGTACGATTACCACGAGCTCGTGCACCAGTGGGTCGCGTTTACCACTTCCGGTGGCCGGTGTACGCGTCTTCGTCGTTCGATCTATTCGTCATTTTCCAAGCTTCCTCTCCCTATCGTCACATGTCTCGATCGCGCTCGCTCGCTCGTGCGCGCGCGTTCAGCAAGAATCGAAGAAACAAGAGACTGGCGACGTGTACGATAAAATAAATAAGACGAACAGTTTGACGCGAGAAGAAACGACACGCAGATGCACGTTCGAGGATACGCGGCACACTGAGCCTTCTCTGGGCAGCGACGTCGCGACGCCAGGCGTCGTGGCAGCTCGGCACGCCTCGCAACGACGCTCGGCGAACCTCGTGTCGACGGCTGGCCAACGTCCAACCGTGTGCAGCCGTCTCGCGACAAACGTTGCTCGTTTCGCGTCCTCTCCTCCTCCTCCACCGCCGCCGTTTCGAAACCGCGAACTGAAATCGTCGTCGTCGAATCGGCCGATTCGCGAGAAAATGTCTCGCTACGGATTATTTACGAGTTACGGGACGATGTTCACGCGACCAGCCCCCCCGTCGTTTAACGACTCTGGCCGACGATGCTGGGCGGCTAGAATGAGCGCTAGAAGCTCCCCTTTATTCACGTCTTCGGTTTGTTTCTCGACGTGACTGAAAAATGGGTCTGTTTGGTTTGAGGATGTTTGACGCGTGTTGTACGTTGCCTGTTCACGGTTTCAGAGATGAGGGAAGCGTTTGTAAGAGTGTCGAGTAGGGGAGAGACGAGGGAGAGACGAGGGAGAGACGAGAAGAAGTTTTTGTTAATATGTTGGTTGATAGTTGAGTTTATAGGATGTAGGAAAGATTTGACCACCCTAACTCTAGTTGACACCCTAATTAGATCACCCGAGAAGTTTGTATTGAAAAGGAAAAATATTTGCAGTAG